TAAGTAAATCCTCATGCCGGTTACATCGAAATAGCAAACACCAAAACTTATCATATTTTCACAAACACCACCATCTTACAAGAAGCTCGGGTAGGTTAGCGCTTTAAAGGATCACGACGTTGATGAGGCATCGCAAAAAAATGGCATGCGTTTTTTATCGAGCATCCAGATAAAAACTTCAGTGACTTCTCCGTTCTCGAGTTAGATGCTCTTATCATCCCATATAAGCTGTTCCCACCTACTGCCACCCACCGAATGAGACCGTTTGAAAAAATCAATTGTTATCATGTCCTGCCACCCGTCAAATATGTTCCTGTCTCACCCCCTTCATCATATGTGGGATCTAACGCTCGAATGCTCCTGGGACACACGCAATGACTTCCGTGGCATTTGCATTCTAACAATCCTTATCAACCCTATCAGTTTTCTGTCTCCTGCCAAATATGTTTTCGTCTCCATTTCTATATCATGCCTTAAAATCTACTCCTGACGACTGCTGCGACGCGCGCTATGATTTTCGTGACAGACAGACGGACGTAGTACACACACGCGGACAGACATATTGTTTTGTCCAGAAAACCCTGCGACACTTTGTCCAAGATTTTTGATTGCACCTTCTTTTGTTGAATGAAATATTCAATCAGCAAGATTATCACCATTACCATATAGGAGACGTACACTTTTCCGGGCAGCTTCTCAACTCTCTTACTTTAGGATTCCGGCGTTTGCTTTGAAAAAAAAAGCGATCGATCTCATTTCCGGGTTGACTAGAGTCATCGGATTTGTTATCTTCTGGATGACTTGTAGTTCATGATCTTTTGATATCTAATGCTTTGTCGCATGTACATAGGTATGCGTGGGTGGAGTAGCATAATGTTGCGCAATTCTGGAGGAACATCACTCATGGTTTCGATTTAGGAGGTAGTTAGAGCCGGCAATCGTCATCACCGCAGTGCAAGGGTCCAGCAGTATTCTGTGAAGAATCGAATTGCAACCTCATCAAAATCCCTTCTCTACGATCCTTCCTGCAGGCAGCTTCACTCTCAGTCGAATCCAATAGAGCTTATGTGTACAGTTTCCTCAAAGCTTGAGCTATCTTCCTTAATCTTCATTTTTGTCAAGAGATTCCTTTGCTGCGAAGAAAGAAGAGAAATCTCTACCATGGTCACACACTTCGCCTCCCCAGACTGGCAACTGGTACCCATTGCGAACATGCTGCCTGTAACCAAGAACGTAGGGATCCTCTGTAACTGTCAATTAGTGCACCTCAGCGTTGTTGCTAACTCACGACTGGTAGCAATCAGGCTGCGCCTCTGGGAAGCTTGAGCAAATGCTCACCATTCACCACCTACAGCCGACCAGAGCAGTGCTTTACTTTGAGTCAAATATCTCCGGATGCGAAGCCTTAAGGACAACGGGACACTATGGCCTGCTGAACGAGTCACCTCCTGAATACAGCACAGATGCTAGCTGCAACGCATGCAAGCAGAGTGGCTTCATAGGAGCTCGAGAAATAAAGTATGTCAAAAGATGGCTCGGTTCAGAGAGAAGTTTGGAGCTGTAAAACGCTGCTTGAAGCCTTCATGTACGCTTCTGCTGGAACCTTTGAAGACACACTACAGTAATCAAATGCCAAAACAACACAAGGGTTTTGATTCTTCCCTAAAGTTATTTGTTCAGCGTGTACCAGAACTTCTGGCCATCACAATACTTAGCGAGTTATATGTAGTAGGACGACTTCTTCGATACCATATTTACAGCCTACCCCCTAACACGTTGACGACATCGCGTGTTTTGGCATTTTGCACCGCGTGGGACAGGAGCGATTTTGCGAGCGCGCCGTCCTCACCTTACTTCCGCTTATTTTTTGTTTAAAATGCACAACAACTTGAATCTCATAGAATTATTTCGGCAAGGATGAAAGCATAAAGGTTAACTATATAAATGGCAGTAGATTTTTGTTTAGAAGAACGCATAATGACCACGAAGAAGCAAAAAACATCACTTTCGCTGCGAATGAAGTTAAAAGCATTTATACCTAAGTTCTTCCATCAAATACAAATATCTTGAAACTCACAGAGTTTTGTATAACTGCTAGGAATACTACGAGAGTTTTGAAATGAAAGTTTTGAGCCTTCAGAAAATTTTCGCTAAATCAAGGGATGTGGTTTATAGTTATGTTAATGAACTCGAGAAGGAGCGGAAGCGCTATAAAAATGAGTGACATAGTTCTGACGCGTAAGTGCGCCAGCCTGTGGTAAACGTGTTAGGTATGTTTTGGAAGTTCTATTTCTCTGACAGCAGTAAGAAAAAGTTCAGAAACAATTTATATAGGCGAGTTCAAAAACAATTCATAACGCCGAATCAGATGATCATATTAGATAAAACTTCGTTACAAATTCTTGAGTCCTTCTGGGAAGGAGTGCGATGCATTGCGTTCATAGAGCCGTCAACATAGATTGTCGACCGTTATGCGCGTAGATAGATTTGGTGTGATAAGAGTTTTGAATCAGCTTTTTGATGAGCAGGCAAGCATCTTTCGTTGACTTCGCTCTGGTCGCGGTGATTTCATGTCGTCTGCTTCTCCATCGGTTGAGGAGATCTCGTCCACTGACGATTCGATTCGCGCTGTTGTCCGTCCACTTGGAGGCAGTTCGATACTTCGAGGTGGTGAGCTTGCTGCATAAAGCAAAGAATTAACACACGTAATCAAACGCTTTGAACAAATTTTTGATGTTTTATTCTGTTAAGACCTTGATAAAAAAATTATATAACTCAAGATTGTACAACCATTTTCGAAATCAATTATGGTGCGCGGCAACTTGCTATGATGTGCTGCTTGCAGATAGAGCGGAAGCGATCTGGCTGTTAGGTTAGATAATGAATGAGCTTGGCCATCTTCAGATTCTTTTCTTTTTATTTGTTTTATATGCTTATTCAATAAGTGCACCACGTTGCCTACAGTAACGGCCAAAAATCAGTTGACAAACGGTTTTTGTTGAGTTTTTTTTTCTGCAAATCATTGAATTGTCTCCAAATTTGCAGCGGTTATTTTATGAGTGCATACCAATTATCCACTCAAACAATCAAAAATTACAGGTTTTTTTTGAATTTATTGAAGACAGGCGAAAATCGCGTAGTCAGTTTATTCAAGTAAAATAGTGATAACTCAACAGAACAATCAACTACACAGCCACTAACACCGAGAAAGTCTAGCACATTGCCAAGAGCCCTCCAAAGCCGTTAATGGTAGATTGTACGGCTCCAAATATTAGCTCAATTAATGAACACACTGCCTAGTGAAGATCATCGTCCACTTTCCTGTGAATTGGACCAGAGAATTTTCGGCGTCTTCAATGAATTTGAAAGATCTATATTTTTGAAACTCGGTTCGAGCTGAAGGTTGATATTTTCTGCGGATTAAAAACGCTCAATAAATAATGGGAGCAAAATCAAAGACGATTCAGTGATTTTTAGAGGAGAAAACCTCAAAAGACCGCTTGTCAATTGATTTTGGCCAGCATCGTATATGTGTGTAGAAGTTCAACGCCTCTCCTTGATCTGCCTTGGCTTTCGCTCATAGAAAGACAGGTGTCGATTTTGAAGTCATGGCACTTGACGTAAGGCTTCACCAAAACAGGCTGGAGGAAGGGCATCCGCTGTCGCGAGGTCAAGGTTATAAGAAGAATGTGGAAGAAGTGTCCGTTTGAGAGACTCCAAATTTTCTCGAACAGTGTCAGAAAAAGTAGCTTTTTTTCCTCTTCTCCTCTTGAGTTGAAAGCGTTGCGATGATGCCGTGGACGATACTTATTGACTGACTCATACTTGACATCACTGACTCGGGCATCTGTGTGAAAAGCCGTGTAGACTGTATACTAAGCTAAGGATACGACCACGCGGTACGTCCTGCCTGGATTGAATCGTGATGCTGCCACTCGAGTCTGTCGTGATAGCATGTGCAGTAGTGATCAGACCGGAAGGAGCTGCCACCGAGGAAAATGACGCATGTCATGCATGCTTTATGACCGAAGTGCACTAGTCGTCCTGTCCGGCGTCCATTGCGACCTCTGCGGACTCGCGTCCTCGCCTGCTTCCTATCAGCCCAAGCCATGCAATCGTGCCACTTGAAGCATCTGCCAGCCAAGCCAAGTGTAATTCAGGGTTCGGACAAGCAAGATTCGCACTCTTATCTTCCAAGTTTATCTTTGTATTGATTATCTCTTTTTGGTAGTTAGCAACCTCCTGACCCGGTTGCTTCATCCTCGATGCATAGCGTGACTTGCTGACACCTGCCAAACGTTGTCTCCCATTCGCTTCAAGAATAAATTTCTTGGTATGCTTCCTTCGCGCAGCCAAAAACAGGCGCGGATTGTCCCGAGTCGGAGAATAGGGCCGAAACCTCACTTTTGTTGTGAGTTGTTCGCCCAGGTTGCCGGCGCTAAATCTACTTCTCATCTCGAAGATCGATGATTCCCCAGGAGGTCCAGGCAGTAGGTGTCAATCATTTTAAGCCAGCGGTGACCGAGCTGCCTGGGCAGGCAAGCCCATACTACGGGGCATAAAATCCAACGGTGTGGGTGACTTATTTAGTCCCACTCAAGCGCCCACTAGGGATATATCCCCAAGGTTGGGGATATGTCCCCAACTTTGGGGATATATCCCCAACCTTGGGATATAGGATTTTTGCACCGCCGTTTCGCGTTGTCGATGCTGACGATCTCCGATTGGCTCGACCGATAGACACTCACTTCTTTGGGAGGACTTCCGCAATTCGACTGGCCGGAAATGTCACAGCGACTTACTGGCGATTGCAGCCGATTGCTTGACCTGCAGCGAGCGAAGCGGAAGATTACACATCGCCGAGCACCGGATGTTCGGCCGCCATCAGTGTTCCGTGAAATCTCCGCGTCCGCCGCAGCTCCCCATGCTCGCGCCCTGCCATTGCGTGCAAAATTCGCTCCGATCGGCAAAGTCCTCGAGCAGACTCGGCCCAGTGGCCGCGAATTGTCGACCGCTCTTAGCCCATTTGTGGATCAACATACGCGGCATTGTAATCACTTTACGCATTTTGTGCAGATTCGTTTTGTTTTCGAGAAAGTTGTTTTGGCCCATCGGCGGCAAGGTCGTGAAACAGTGCCTAAGAACTGGCTCAATGTGCCTCTGGCGAGCAAGGAGGCGTGGGCGCAAGTCCACCTGCCCGTTGCGCTAGAAAGAAGAAACGAATTTTATGAAATTTTCTGCGAAAATTGCGCCGGGGTTCTATTTCTGATTTTGGGCCATCAAATGATGGGCAGTTTGTTCAGAATGTCGTGAGAAGCGAAGAAGGCAGAGCCTGAGAAGGCAGACTGTTTTATTAACCTTTCGCATTACTGTCGCTCCTCCTTAGGAACAGTCCCGAAACTGAGCGTTTCCACGGTTGAATTTAGACAGTCCATTCACGCTGTGGGATTCCACATTGAGTCCAGGGAATGTGAAACCATTCACGAAACCAAAAAAAGTAAGGGAAAGGCAATTGGAAGAAAAATAGTATAACTCGGGGTGGGTTCGAAACGAGGCGCTCAGCCACCAAGATCGTTGCCCACTGTAGTTGTCGTAAGAAGCCACGGAAGTGGACGAAATACCCAACGGTTCCTATTGTCGCGCGTGCACTGAGTGAGTTATCGAAGATATGCCCATAAGTGCTTAATCGAAAACCCGAAGTCCGTTACATTATTAATGGTACGTGACGCGCTTCTTGAGGTAGGGGCGGAAGGCCCTAGGGTCCTGCGATCGAACCCCCTTGAACGATTGTAGTAATGCATCGCAGGATGGGGGATGGATTCCCAGAAAGTTGGGATATATCCCCACACCTTAGGGATATGGTATATCTTCTGGAAGGTTTGGGATTGCCTCCTCTTAGTTGGCGCTTGCTGCACCGCCCGGCCCCCAGGTGAACACGCTTATAAGTGTAAATAAATCCTTGCCATAGCTCACGAATTGTCTTCACCGGCTCAGTGTTCGGATCTCACGGTGATTCGCAATGTCATGAAAGAAATAAATATTGTCGCGGTACGAGGGCTCTGACGAGCTGCCTCGGCCAACTTCTGGAGTTCCGCAGCCTAGACCTCTACCTACACAATGGTGCCCATAACGAAGAATTTGTAGTGGAGCTTCCGTAAGAGCCCTACCTGTAATGGAGTGTGCGGGACGCTGCTGGCTTCTTATAAAAATATCAAAAGATCGAAAGCGCTGGTAAAGGTGAAACACGCTGTAGCGGTGAACGACATGCTTATTCAAGCTATTGCTTGGATAACTACTGACTGCAGCACTTATATCCACCTCGTGGATTGAAGCCTCGAGAATGCTCTACCATTTGTTAGTCATAAATGTTACCTATGAATTTTTCAGAAAAAAAAAAAATTTTAGAAAGAGTGTTGCAGAACTTTCTTTCCAACCTAATACTAAAAACACGTGCCCGAACGACTTTGTGGTATGCAAAAATACAAAGAAAATTGAATATAAATCACCCTCCAATAAAAATTTTTTAAACTCACATGCATTCGATTCTTCTTCATATTGAGGCGGAGCAGATGCTGGCTTCAGCGCCTCCTCATATCGAGGAGGCCTAGGGGATTCGCCTGGATGCTCCGAGTCGAGCACTGACGGTTCAAGTACGAAGCCTGAATTTTTCACTGTATTGAATCTGAGCATTGAAGTACGGGGTGTAACAAAAATAATCGAGTTCTGAAAGAGTAAAAAGTAGGCTTAATACGTAGCCCCTTGAAACTCAAATAAAATTCAGATGTTGAGTTCAATGAAGGTCTGTTTATATTCAAGATAATCACGTACCAACAATTTGAGGATACTGCTCCGTATTTGGCTGTATACTGGCGGTGATCACCATACTTCGTATTTGATTGCGTTCATCGAAATAAAACCTGCTACCTGTAAGAAGAAACAGATAATATTATACTTGGACTGAACTAGTTGAAGTTGCGGAAAGATTCAGGCAAGGATCAATTGTGTTTCGATTGAATTTCCACCTTTCGCAATTGCATTTCTGAATAACATCCAGGGTATAATGTGAGCCTCGCCCATTTCATTGAACCCAATGGCAAACGAAGTTTTCCTGAATTCCAGAAAAATGCGTTCCAGTGCTAGAACGCACCTTTACAATGGGGATACCACGAGTTTAAAACTCAACTGAGTTTTGTTGATTCGTTCGAATTTATTAACACTGCTTGATCTGATCTCAAGATGTCAGCGATAAGCTTGTTGTAACAAATATGAAGATCAGGTGCTCCACGCTATTATCTTCCAAAGGTCACTATACACTTTATAGCCGATAGATAGTCGCTCTACGTGGTATTCAGATAATCAGTATTTATTGCGTAACCTGTACTTGTATGTCGATTTTATGTAGACACAGCAATTCTGTGTGTGTTGCAAAACAAGAAAGAAGAACAACCTCACGAAAATACTAATACAATTAAACCTCAACACAACTCCGCCATACAGATACTCCGAAACGCGTCGAGAGCAACAGAGGTCTATAACAGACATGCAGCGGGAGTGTGGTAGAGCTAGACACATCGGTAAAAGTTACGCGAGTATCAAGTCATCTCAGAATGTGTTATTTCCGCATCTATGATAGCGTCAGAACCGTTGTTTCTTAATGCCGGCTTATAGAGAGATGACGTCTAAACTCTTGTTGGCCTTATGAGAAATTATCTTCTGGGTCGTCTACGATCAACTCTTGCACCATGCCGGCCATCCTCCAGTCCGAAGACATCTCTACTCTAGACATGGGACTCCATTTCGATATAGGCGAGAGATCGCAGAGAGTAGTGATCACCCACATGCAATATGGCTTTAAGACCACCTGGCCAGTCCTCACATTACTTTCATTCAAGCATCTCCTCACCTCACTCTCATCCATCGATCTCGTCTGCAGATCACAAACAAAGGTGTGGGCATGAAGACCAGTTTAAAAATGACGGGCTCACCGCAAATATAGGTCTAACGAAGTAGCCGAATCTCATACAACCACCTAAAAGGAAGACTGTATTGTCTACTATTGCCCTCAAACGACCGATGAGCTAACTATTGAAACCAGCCCAGATGACGTAAGTCATACTCAGCTGTCTATAGAACTTCGTGTGCTTTGCTCACACGTGAGAGAGACTCGTAAATTACTGTAGAGATTATCTCTTGAGTTATCAGAACTGGTAGCATCTTTGACGCCCAGCAGTATGATTATTCACATCCATTGTCCTGAGGGATTAACACACCGACTCGACGTCCCTTCCTGCTATGTCCCATACTTCTACTCGCTCACGAAGGCCTGACTGAGTATCGGTAATGAGCTGTAGAGTTCTAATCTTCTCGGCGCCGGATCAATTGAGAGAATTTTTCATGGTCTGGGTTTCAACGACGTTCCATTTCCCAAATTTACACTCACTGAGAGAGAAATATGCTCCAAATCAAGCCGAACCTTCGCTTTCGTGCAATACTAACTATCGCGTCCGTATTTTCAAAGAAAAAAAAACTTTGCTTCCCCACCCTTTAGGGGGTCTCGTTACGACTGCGCATCATCACCATTTGCCTTAGAAACCTAGTCCAGCCGGCACTGTCCAACTCCATAACCCGCCCACTTTTGGAAAGTAAAAAGTGGACGTAGATAAGGAGCAGTCGAGGGGGGCAAATATCTCTGATGAAGCAGAACATCTTTCCGATTTTATCCATTTCAAGCTTTTTTCATGAAGTTTCCACCAAAAATCGTCGGAAAACTCATCGGACATGGGCACCTCTCCCGCTCCACCATCTCTTCAACTTCCACAAAGATAACCGCTCATCTATACAATTTCACAGCCACGGTTAACCTTACTCACCCTCAACTACAACTTTCCAGTCCACCCACTCCTTCCAAAATCACAAACGCAACCCTCTCGCTCGAACAGTGCGAACGGACAGTTGACCCTTTTGCTTTTAGCGCGGCCACTTCCTCTTGAGGCAGCGATCGCGTAAGTTTGAAATATGGAACACGTTGTTCTCATGGTAGAACTGTCTCGAGCTTGAGATAGGGACCGCTTGACCGAGCGAACCCCTTTGAAGTAAGGTCCAATTCAATGAGAAGATTTATTTGCTTGGTATGAAATGCGCTTCGGAATGAAAATCGAACGATGCCTTGAACACATCCTCAGTCATCCTTTCCACGTATACGGTAAGTAGGCCCGAGTTGGGGTGTTGGTGAGTCGATTCCAGCCACACCCCTCAGACCCATCACAAATGTAAACGTCAAGGAATAATTCAAAGCACGCTCCTGAAATTCCCCTACTCTACTACCTTCTCAAGCACGTAAATGGGATTGAATTCAGGCCCATTGCTGTGAAAAGTTGTACCTGCACCAGCATGCAAAAAAAGCAGTGGCGTAGTAGATAACATGTTGCAAAACAACGCTCTAAACGATTTGACCAACAATAAGTTTTTCCGGAGTTGAGCACTTTCACGCGGAAGTCAGGTCAAACACATTGCAATGTGTACGTGCTGTTCTACGTGAGAGTTATTCACGGGTCGTGTTTATTGTCGTGATTATTCTACCAAACTACTAAAGCGCTGGAGTACAAAATAAGCTACATACATCTTAGCCGTGACACAACTTACATTGGTGGCCAGAGTTGGTGATGTAGTACTGGGCTGTATAGTTCGGAATACTGCCTTTAGAACGGCGTGTTGCAGCAATGCCGAAGAAAATATCGAAACGCACAACAGATGAACGAAGACGCAGATACAAAGCGATGTCGCCAAAGTGGCCACATTTGCATTCAGTTGAAGATATCCATCCGAGCCAAAGTAATTCATTGACATATCTCGAAATCGGTGAGTTCAGTTGTGGCTCGCTCACAAAACCAAGACTTAAAAGGAATCTTCCACGGGAAAAAGCTCCGCCTCCATTA